CCCACGCCGCTCTTCCGGCCGCGGCCAGACAATCGGGCCCTTTCTCTCCCCAATTAGCTATCACTTCTGGAGGCCGGCGCTGTCCGAGGCCCTCATCAGCGGCGGGCTTTGCAGCAGGCCTGGCCAGGCGGGGGCCAGGAGCTTGGCGGGAGGCTGCAGAAATGAAAAGGGGAGGGAAGGGGGAGAAGAGAGAACAGTGGGCGACCCCAGACTTGGCTCAATTAGCACATGGGCCGTGCATCCACATCCCGGAGGGGTCGGGGCGGCTGCAGCAAGACTCCCAGAAAAGCCCTGGGACCTGGGGAAATCCGCTTAACCCTCCAGAGGGCAGCCAGGTGGCCCAGCACTGCCTAATCAGAGGCTCTCAGGGCACATTTCTGCGAGCCCCCTCACATCCCTCACAGGGCCCTGGGGCCTGAACCTGAGTCACTCGTATTCACCTAGTGACCTTGGGGGAGCCTCTCCGCCTCTAAAGGCTGTGGGGGACTTGGGTAGAAAGTAAGGTGGAGATCACCTGCCGAGAGGATTACGGGAGCCTTTATAGGGGCTCAGCCATGTCTCCAAAGTGATACCCCAAGAACATCTCCACAGCTCTTCTGAGATAATGGCATCTGCCCAGCCTTCTCCATCTGCCACACACACAGACACAGGCACACAGGAGCGTCCACCCTGCCACAGCTCTGCCGGGACGGCTCTGGCCTTTTGCAGCTGAGATCCCGGCGGGAGAGAGACGGCCGGCCCGAGCTCTCCCTCTAGCTCCTGCCATGTGTCCCACAGCCATGGGGCCACAGTGGAGCTGGGCCTCTAGCATGGGTCTCTAGCCAAGGGGTCCTGGGTGTGTCCAGTCATATTCTCGGCCGAAAATGGTCCCACAGAGACATCATGCAAAGGGGCCCTTCTTGAGAGCTTCTGGGCCCAATTACTCATCACCTGTCACCAGCCCCTGCGCTTCTTCCTGAGGCATAGGACAACTGTTCACCCCCACAGACCTACGTCTGCACTGGCCGCTCACCTGCAGCTCAGGCACCACCCAGGCTGCCCAGGTTGGCCAGAACACCGGGCTCAGGAGCGATAAGCTCCTGGCTTCTGCCACACCTCAGACATAGGTGAGAGTTTAGCTATCAGGAACCCACCCAGCAGAAATCAGCCAAAGCATCTGCTTGACAAGGGCCTCCAGTAAGTCCAGGGGGTCCTGCCACCTTCCAGGAAAAGCCGATGTGCTTTTCCATCTGAGGGGACGGTCTCTGAGCATGCAGAGAGGGAAAGGAGGCTGGCGGCTCAGCAGGCATTTCACTCACCTGACAGGGCCACGTCCCTGGGTGAGGTGTCCTGCGGAACTGGAGCTGCCTGTCCTGTCCCAGCCACCAGCTCAGGTCCACCGGGCAGGTGGCCTTGGAGAAAGGTCCCTGTATTTACCGAGCACACAATCAGAGTCAACACCTCCCCCGTCACATGGTGTCCCTGCACAGGACACTCGGGTCAAGGAGGCTTGGCCCCTTCCTGCTCAGACACCTTGGCAGTGATGACGAGGCCAGCGTGCCCTTCAGAGGAGAAGTAGATGGGCATTCTCCCCTGGGCAGTGTCTTGGCCTTCCAGGATGGCTCCTGCTGGAGAGGCACTGGGTACCTGTCAGGGACCCAAAGACAGATAACGTGGCCAGTGCCACAGAAAGGTAAAAAAGTGATAACAGAAGTCCACTGGACGTGGAGTGGTTCATTCTATACTTACGGGTGCTCTGTTGGGGTGGGAAGCCCCATGATGCCCCCCATTCCCAGAGAGGAGACTCCTCGAGTCACCCACAGCTAGCAGTGGGAGTGGCTGGAGATGTGACTGTGCTCCATCCCAAGCCCTCAGGGACCCTTCAGTGTCCTTTTGCTTCCAGCTCAGCTGTCCTCCAGGAGACACAGAAGATATCCTGGGGATACAGAAGCTGCTCCCTACCCCGTCATCCCTTGGCCAAAAACGGACCATGGGGAGAAAGAGACCTGTGTCCCCTGCCTAGGGTTGGACAGATGCCTAAGGCTCTTAGCCCCCCAGGACACCCCCAGGATCACAGGGAATAGGGCTATGCCCAAAGTCACCCCCTTCTGTGGCTTTCCCCCCTCAACTTGCACTCCCCACTCTTTCCTCCTGTTCTTCCCAGGCCACCACCTCCTAAGTCACCTCCTGTGAACAGAGTCCAAGACAAGGATGACCATTGTCTCCAGACCTGGAAACCTAGAGCTGGTCCCACTCTACAGAGCTGAGCAGTGGGAGCGCCTGACCCTGGCCACAGAGGACAGATTGGGGAACTCTGGTTACCTTCGGGGCTATGAAGAGCCAAAGTGCCTCCTGCACCCGAATGTCCAAGGATGTAGACAATGACAAGGGACAAGTCCTCACTCACTGTCTCCCACTAAAGAAGACAGTGGTAAGTGAAACTGGTAAATGAAACAATTGGTAAGTGAAACATGGCCACAGGTGAGGTCCACAAGGAGCTGGGGCTAGAAGCAAAGAGGAGACACCGCTTCTGGACCCACTTACCATGGTGACAACACTGGAAATGAGCCCCAAGGGCACCTCACCAGGTTATCACTGTGGTGCTCTGGGCCTCTGCTTCACTGTCCAAAAGAGGGGACAGAAATCCCTTCCAACTCCCCCGCTCTGCAAAAGGCAGCGCAGCGAGTATTTTCCAGGGCAAGTGCTATGAAGCAAGTGGATCCAAGTGACCCGTGACTGTGACCAGGCCCCATCTCTGGGAGCTATCAGGACTGCCACCTGCCTTGTTGGTCGGCATTGCTTTTTATTCTCATCAGAGCACTCAGGTCCCCAGGACCCCTTTCATTCCCTTCTAGACTGAACTCTCGCCCTGTCACCCACCCCACCAAGGCTCAACCTGGTTCCGGTCACCTCAGAGGCACTCAGTAGGAAAGTGCCACACTGCTGGGGTCCCCAGGCCAAACTATGTTTCCATTACACACCCATGTTTCCCTTAGACCAGATTCTGCCAGACTGGTAAAGCCACCATCTACGACTAAGTTAGCCATTCTCAGAAATGCCTGCTCTTATTGAAAATCTTTTTTTTTTTTTTTCCTTTTTGCAAAAGCAAAAGATGCTTGATGTTACCAAAAGCAAACAAAAGACCATTATAGAAATGTGGGACTTATGAGAGTAAACGTCAACTACTTCTGCCAAGATGGAGAGTGAGATAGTGGGGGCCCTGCAGGGCCACAGGAGCCCCTGGTAGCTGCACCCCAGGAAGGTCTGTGGACCATTTCCTTCTTGGCCTGGGATTTCTGCATCTCGAAATTCAGCCGCTATAATCAACAGAACGTGCGTTGCAAACGGGGGTTTCCACTGAAATGCTCTCGACTTGCAGACGGGCGAAAATTAATTTTCTTTCTTCCTGCCCCACAAAAGCAGATTAAAATCGCCAACAGTAGGACGAGTGGGAGAAGTGGAGAGCTTCCTCATAGAGGGAGACCCCCGCAGCCGGCCTTCTCTCCCGCCCAAGGGATGGCCCCAGCCGTTTGAAATGCCCCGCTCCTCAGATAGAGCCCCAGCCAGAAGAATGCACTTGAGAAAAAATGATGCTGTGCCCTTGCCGCAGTTGAAAGCTGCTGTGTAACTTTGCCCCGGTGATCAAACAGCTAGTCAGGGACGCTGTCAGGAGCAGAATGAAATTCCAAATAAATTAGCCATGTCCAAGAAGCCAACACAACACCGGATTAAGTCTCACAAAGAAAACACAATTTATTCAGCCTACCTTGTCAGAATTCTTAATAACCTCCCTTCACGTTTCTACCTCAGGCTGAGAGCCCTGGGGTGGGAAGAGACAAAGTGAACCCCGCTTGGAACTAGGGCTACACATACTCAGATGTGCAGGGGATGCCTACAGCCAGTTGTGCATAAGGTTTTACAAAACTGTGCTTTTAAGAACATTTCAGCAGAGAGCAGACGCAGTCCTGCAGGAGAGACAAGCTGTCACAAAGACCCCGGGACATATGCAGCTCCCGGGGTCTGAATAGGCTGCTTCATACATAAGAATACAGG